GTAGAGCCATGAAGATGATTAAGGGATGGGAGCATTTGTCATATGAGGAAAGACTAAGCAAACTGGGCCTGTTTAGCCTGGAGAAAAGAAGACTGAGAGGAGATTTGATCAACATGGTCAAGTACCTTAGAGGTGATCATAGGGAGGATGGGGCCAGGCTCTTCTCTGTGGTGGCCGGTGACAGGACGAGGGGTAACGGGTATGAGTTGAAACACAGGCAGTTCCACCTCCATGTGAGGAAGAACATCTTTCCTGTGAGGATGACAGAGCCCTGGAACAGGCTGCCCAGGGAGGCTGTGGAGTCTCCTTCTCTGGAGATCTTCAAAACCCCCCTGGAAGCCACCGTGTGCCACGTGCTCTAGGTGTCCCTGTTGGAGCAGGTGCCTTCGAACCTTAACCATTCTGTGATTCTTTTTGGTAAGAGCCAATTGATTGCTGCAGAAATAAGTACATTTTGCTGCGTCTTTAGTTGAGTCCTATCTATCTGCTGAAAGTGCCAAAGAATCTTTAAACTACATTAGGAAGAAATTAATAAATACTGAAATGTATTTAGTATGCACCGAGTGAATATGTATGCTACCTGTTGTGACAGCAGTGGAAGAATATGAAAATACTGTTTACTCACATCTTTTAAATAGTGAAGAATTAATTTAAAGGTGGCAACAGATGTGTCAAAAATATAACCTCTGCCAATCTGACATACACTTTCATGCTTTAAGAAAAAAACAAAACAAAACAAAAAAACACAGCAAAAACAATGAATGAAATGTGCCTATTTATTAAAAACTTCGTTCTATTTTGATATATTTTTCAATAACTTTTAAGTACAACTATTTATTTGAAAAGCTAATCCCAAAGTCTGTTCCCAAAATCCTTAGCTTGAGGCACTTGCTGGAAAAAGAGAAGATTTAATGAGTACAATTAAATGTTTCAGGTTATATTCATGTAAAAATCAATTATTATGAATTTTTGTACACTGAGAATTGTACTGTAATAATCAGATATACAGTTGGAGTTGAAGATTTTATTCAAAATTAGCATCTTGTTAACCTAATTTCATTAAATCTAAGATTTTATTTTATATTTTCGTTTTCATGTTTGAGCAAGATATTATTCATGTATTCAATCTATCTCATTCATGTCTTATTTGATTATAAATTTTGAACCATTATTCTTAATGGAAAGCCTGTTTTGAAGTTACATGCAGCCAGCATTCATGTAAACAAAGGTGTTCTCACAAAAGGCTCAAAGACTTTGAGTGTATAAATTCAATATGAGATTGCTTATCCCCATTTCCGACCAGTATTTTTTAGCAATCATAAACCTAGTTTTCTCTGAAGGGGAATCAAAATACATGCCTGAAGTACATTAAGTAATAAGGAAATACCATTTTCTATAAAGAGCAGTACACTCCCTGATCTATAGAATTTCCAGTAAGTTAATTGATTTTAGAAATTCTTTTTTTTTTTTT